AGGGTTCTGCACACAGCTGGATGCTCCCTGGAATTTTTAAGCTCTCCCTTCGGTTCACAGCTCAGAGAGTCCCTGGCAGGGCTCACTGCTTTTGGCCTGAGGAGATTTGCCCATCGTGGGCAAACATGGACACGGGTGGTGCCAGCCCAGGAGAAGACAACTAGGGGGGGGGAATGGATCTGGGGGTGTCCACGGACATTGTTGTTGCTGACAACTAATTGGGAAGGGCCCAGAGCTTGTCCTGCTTGGCTTGGAAGACGCTCCTTTATCAAGTTTCCCAGAGAAGCTGTGGCTGCCCCTGGATCCCTGCAAGTGTCCAAGGCCAGGCTGGACAGGGCTTGGAGAAATCCAAAGCAGAGGTAGAAAGTTTAGAGAAGGTGAAGTCACCAGGCCCAGACCTGTATCCTCCAACATCCCTCCTCTCCTGGCTGACCAAAACCTCCCAACCCTACTTTGAATCAGCCTTTTGTCATGAAGAGCCAGATGAAAACATCAAGTTTCCACTGCCACTTCAGTGATAATTCACAACAGAACTGAAAGAACCGATCTGCTACAATAAAAAACAAAAAAATATTAAATAAACAACACCCGGGCACTTTTGAATTAAATCCAGTATTGTATTTTGCAGCCAGATTTCTAGGAAATGTTGTGAATAATCCAAGTAATTCAGTGGAGCGTTGTTTTTATTTTGTTGTTGTTGTTGTTTTTACAAAACACAGCAGCACGTGGAGTTTCAGTTCTGCAGCAGAACCCTCTGAAATCGGGAGGGTTCGTTTTATTACAGGCCTCCTGAGAGTTCTGAGAATTTAAAAAACCTGCAGGAGACCTGGGAGCCACCCCCCTTTCCTGTTCTCCCCGCAGGTTGCAGCATCTCCTGCTGGAAAACCGGGCATCTCGTGGAGGGAAGAATACCATTGCAAAAGGATTCGTTTCACAAAGACACTGAGATTCATCTCCTAGCTAAGCAAACAATTCCAAGACAGATAAAGTCAAATATAAAACAAGAAAAAAAAAAAAAAAAAAAAAAAAAAAAAAAAAAAAAAAAAAAAAAAAAAAAAAAAAAAAAGGGAAAAAGCCCCCACAGCACACATACCAGGCTGAACTGCAAACTGAAAAAACAAAAACAAAGCAGCTAAAATATATCCAAACATCCCAAGCCAGAGCGGGGCCTTGGGGCCCTTCAACACAACTGCAATTTATTGTGCCAGCAAAACCAATTAATAAGTCAAAGGAGAAACCAAGCACTGAGGGATTTGCTCTGGAAGACAAGAAAAAAAAAAAAAAAAGATGCTGCAGGATCTGTCAAGCCAGCTCTAAAACAATGCTCCAAATTTCTGAGATCCCCAACACGATACCAGCACTCCTCCCTTTGGGTTCTGCCAGAGGAAGTGGAAAAACCTCCGGGTTGGGGTCTTATCGGGCAAAGTTCTCGGCTCAATTAAAAACCTCCTCGTGTATTGGCTGAATTTAAATCACCTGCAGGCAGTACCTGTGAGTTTGGAGCTAATCCACACCTGCAGCAGGCACTGGATATTCCTCCACCTCTCCAGGGAAGGGGCAGGATTTTGGCAGCCAAGAGCACACGTGGGGCTTGATCGGAGTTATTGTGAGCTCGGATTCCTGAGCTGCATTTCAGCAGGACTCCAGTTATCCTCAGGTTTGGACTGGGCCCTCCACAATCATCTCATCACTCAAATTTGCCAGAAAGAGGAAAAAAAAAATCACAAAACAACAAAACTCAATTGTCAAAACAACCTTAGGGAAGATTTAGGTGACTTAAGGACCAGGGAGGGGGACGCCAATTATCACCAGGGCCTGCCAGCTTTGCTGGTGCAAGAGGCTTGTTCCACAGACTCCCAAAAAAATGAGTAAAACAGGGATTTTCATCAGCAAGGTGACAGAGGACAGCTATAAAAACTGACAGTGTACACAGAAAACAGACCGTGGCCAACAGCTCCCATCCCTCTCTCCATCAGAAACCTCCAACGGGGCAGGAATAAGTTTATTTCCTTATTTTTCCTCTTGATATTGCCTACAGAGCAACTAATCTGCCTTTCCATCCCCACCTCCAGTTACACTGCAAGAATTTACCTTCTACAAGGCACTAGAAGCCACAAAAGTGGCAAGTTTTTCCACTTTTTTTAGAAAAAAAAAATCAGAGTATGCTGGAAACTGGAACTTGTGGTTGAAGGCATGGGCTCCTTTGAAAACTTCTTAACTGGCTAAAAATTTGGGAAGTTTATCAAAGAAGTTGGTGGGTGGCTGGGACCACAACAACCCTCTGAACTTCCCAAGTGCTCATATATTGATTCACTAGAAAATCCTGCTGGGTTTTTCCTCAGGTCCTGAGTAATCAACAGAGCTACAAATTATTAATAAATACCTGAAGTTTTTATGAACAGCAAATATCCAGGAGGTTCTCACAGAGCTCTGCCAAGATCCTCCTCACTGCAACACTTTAAATTCAAACTGAAGCCTCAGCGTTAAAGTTTTAAAATCACTGCAGCTGCTTTGAGAACACAGGAATAAAGACCTAAAAAAAAAAAAAAGTTACCTCTGGCAAAAGACAGACCCAGGCTCTCTGAACAGAGCCTCAGATATGCTCAGAAACAAAAACATCCTAATTACTAAGGATACAGAAAACCATATGTATATGCAAGATCTCAGGAGGAGATAAGGGGAAAAGCTCCACTCTGCACAGAGCAAGAGTATCAAAAGATGTTCCTCTACTGAGAAAGGGGAGGAGGGAAGCATCAGAAAAAAAGAATCAAAAGAAGATGTTTTAAAGGCAGTGCAAGAGCAGCTCTTGGTGTCCACAGTGAACTGGAAGATCCCAACAAGTGGTGCCAAGAGGCAGCTTAAGGATTGGGCGGCTAAACTTCAAAATGGCTCGTTTTGGAACTGCCTGAAAAGGTAAATTCTCTATCTGTGGTTTCCTCTGGCCCTGATGAAGTTTTTTGGGTGAGGCTCAGGGAATCTGAGCGCATCAAACTCCTGCCCAGTGGGAGTTCTGATTCCCACCGGCAACCCTGCAAGATGTGCTGCCCATCTGCTGCGAGCGGGAGCACAAACCCTCGGTGAAATCAGGCAGCACGAGGTGACTCATCCCTCAGCTGCCACCCAACCCTTGGAAAAGGTCAGCTTGTGATGAGGAACAAAGAGCAGCAGCAGCAGATCTGAGCGTGAAACAACCGAGCAATCCGCTCTATTTCCAATCGCCGATAACGCGGCGCTCGGTGCCGCGCGTGGAGCGAGGAGGAACTTGCAACGTCCCCCTCCTTGCCCTGAACCACACAAGGATCTAACAGGAAAGCATCACACACAGTTACATGAAGCCCTCGCCGGCAGCTCTGAGGTGCTGCCTCCTTAAAACCAAGGAGGAAGCTGAAAAAAAAAGGGCAGAAATGCCAACTAGCACAGCACCAAACCCACAAAAGAGGAGCTGAAACACGGGATGCCACAACTACAGATGTGCTCTAAAAACGTGCAGAGATCTCCTTTTGGATTGTTTTTAATTTGGAGAGTTCAAGGAAGGAAAGACAAGGTCCTGGAAGGAGGGCATGTAGGGCTCCATAGAATTCCAGGACAGACAGTTCTGCTTGTGTTCCCTGGGGCAGGAAGGATTGGGATGAACTGGGTGGCTGCAGAAGACACACACACTTTGTCCCACACCTCCAAAACCAGCAGTGTTTCTCACCAAGGCCTCACAGTGCTCTCAGCCAGAAGCTGGAGGCTTAGTCACCTCTCCAGGTCCCAGCCTGGATCCCACCCCCCTTACATTCCCAGTCCTCAAAAAAGCACTAATCCCATCCCAAGGGGCACTGAGCCAGGTGGGAAGGAAGGAGCAGATCTACCCATCTGCCCTTCATACCCTCAAGAAAACCTCCCTGAGGTCAGGCATTAATTTCTGCCCTTCTGCAACTCAGAAAAGATCTCCTAACTAGATATGAGAGGACTTGCTTTCCAATTTCACCCTTTGACTCCCAAAAATCGACTCCATATAATGCTTTCGGAGAAAAGTCAGCCAGTGCCAAAGGAGCTGCTGCCACCAGCAGTGCTGGATCCTCTGCAGGTGACACCTGGAACACATTCAGCTTCCCCTTCCACATACTACCCTAAGGTTTGGCCCCCTGGAACAAGAAAGATAAGCCCTGTGACAGATCCAAGCATCTCCAGGCCTAAATAACCGGAGAATTTCAGTCTTTTCCTCTCGCCATTGGGAAGTCCTGGACACTCCGAGCACTTCCAAGAGCAAGAAGCTCCAGGCCCTGAGGGACTGCATCCTAAAAGGGGCTGGTCTGGAGCGGAACTCTCAAGAAGATCTCTCCCTAATACTCCACACATGCTATTTTGGGAGAAACACATGGCAGGAAGGTCTCTTCCAACCAAAATTATTCTCCAAAATCAGAAGTTGGGGCTTCACTGCCCTTCAAGTCTGATTGCAGGACACTTTGTCCCTTTCTTAATTCAGTACCTCCAAGATCTCAGACACCTTTGTTGGGGCAGATGATACAAGTTTTGAAATTCCACCACCGAATCTTGCTTCAAAGAACAAAAAAAAAACCCTCTTGCACTAAAAGATGCATCTGCCAGAGCCATCTAATATTCACCTGATGCTCCTTGGCAGGATGTCCCCACCATCAAGGAATCCAACACCTAAACACATGATCTCCACTCCAGCAAAACACGAGCAAATACACCTGGCCAGGCTGTATTACAGGAAAACATCACGAAAGGACTTGAAAAAAAACAAGGAGCCACCCAGAATAGTCACTGATGACAACGTGGAGATGATTATTTACTGCTTGACTATCTCAAACATCTACAGGGTTTGAAAACGCGGAGTCTGCTCCCAGCACAGGATTACACAACCACCACACCAGGCTGTTTTCACGTCACACTCGAGGCCGAGTGGATTCTGCACCCCCTTTGGTTCAAGCTCTCAGCTCTCCCTCCAACAAGGTGGATTTGGGCCCCAAAAATAGTCAAATAATACTTGCCACTCTCTTCAAAGAAGTATCCATTTCTTGACATCGCTGCTGGTGGGGACTCTGGGAAAAAAAAAAAGCAGAAAAAAGGAACCATAAGAATCATCACAATTCCGGATGTTTTCTGCTAAACTCACTGTAAACCTGGATTACAGCAGAAAGGCACTCCCAAAATACTGCAGACATCAGAATGTCCCAACTTGAACCTTTTCATAAATTAAGTTGATTGACTTCAGTATTTACCAGAACTTTCTGATACAGCCACAGGCAGTACCTGAAAATAATTAAGTCTCAAACATCCTGTGCTGGGACCACAAACGAGCAAGGTTATGTATCAGGACAAGCCTGGTCATCTCAGCACCTACCAAACCTGAATAAATGTGGCAAAACCCCCCCCAAATAATATAAATCATACCTAAAAGTCATAATCTAAAAGGTTTTTACAAAAAATACAAGTCACAACAAAGTCCAGGTTGTACCTTACGCTCAGATAAAATGAACCAGTATAATTTAGAAAGAAACAAAAGTCAGTTTTTAGATGAGAATGGGACTTCACATCCTATTCTGCTGCTCCTAATCAACAGGATACCCCCAAAACAGTGCTTGGCACTGGAGAGAAGCCCCAGAACACTTCAGCCTTCCTTGGCCCTGGGGTCCTGCAGCGACACCACCTGCACCAACAGGGTCTCACGAGGAAGCCAAACCGGGAAACGGCACCGACCGAGAGCAAACCCACAAACACAAGAGCACCAGGAATGAATCCCCACAGTTCAACAGGGAACGTGGTTTTGGTACTGAACATCTCCAGGTGATAAAACAGCACAGGAGCACCTGCCTGCAGGTGCGATCAAAGCCTGGTGCCCAAACCCAGCCTGACTGACAGCCTGGCACAGCTCAGCCCGCGTGGGCAGAAGCAGCAGGTTCTCCCCTACAGGTGCGTGGCCCATTTTCCAGCCAGAGAACGGAGCTCTGGAGTCCAAGCCTTGAGCAAGAGTCACCCAAAACTCTCAAACAAAAAAAACCTCTCTGCACCGCTTCTTCCCAGCCAAAACGCAATCAGACAGAGGAATGGGCTCGCTCTGTCTCTCCCCACCTCATCAGGCTAATCAAACAGTACCTACGCAAGCCTGCGAGGAATTTGGGCCAACAAGGAAAGAGGCTCTGCCTGCCTCATTGTTCTGCAGATTAGGCTTCCTGCTTTCCTGCTCGAGGTACGAGGCTGTTTCCCAAAGCCCCTTTTTTCTCTCTACCCCATAGCTTTTGGCTGGTAGGCAGCAGGCTTTTTTATTCCCTTTTCCAGTGGAAGCATCATCATCATCATAATCATCCCTCCTGGCCCCCCGGGAGCCTTTGTGCACCGGGCGGATACAAGTCACGCCACTGACGGCAGCACCTTCCAGCCCTGACACTTGTCACCACTGACAGCACTGCAGGTTCCTGAAGGGACACCCTGATGACCATTAAAAAAAAAAAAAAAAAAAAAAAGAAAAAAGAGAGCCAGCACATAAACCAGAGGGCAATTCAAGTGTCTGGTCCAGGGGAGAGACACAATGTTCCAAAGTTCATCCCAGAACAATGGGCCGGAGGAACAAAGGCACCGAACTGTGGCCAAGGGGCACCCGTCACACGAGTCAATTGTTTCCCTCCACCTGGAAGGGAAGGAGAAGATCCATCCAGACTGATTAGCATGCTGATGATCAAAGGAAAGTTCTTTAAAGGGGCTCTTATTGTGTAATGATTGCATTTACGTATTAAGGGGGGGGGGGAACAAACAGATGGATTACCCAAGGAACCGACATTCCCACCGGGGTGGTTTATCCATTTCTCCCTCCTCTTACGGAGTCTGGAGCAACCTGTTCATCCCTCACTGGGCAAAACGAGACACTTGGCTTTTCCTTTAACTGAACACAGCTATTCCTGTAGGTTGATGATGTGTCTAATGATAATCACCACAACCACCTTCACTTCGGTGGCTGCTCGGACTGGGCATGAAAAGGGCAATGCTGGGGTGCTGGGGCTGGCAGTGCCATTTCACGAGGTGGCACTGGTCCCTCTGAGTCACTAGTAATGAGCAACAGGCCCCCAGGCAACACGCTCGGGCAATTACGGTGGAGGTGCTGGTTTTTTTTCAGATGAGTCATAAAACAGAGGTCCTAACCTTGTAATTAAAGATGCAATGGCACGTTTGGGAAACAAAAAAAAAAAAAAGAGTCAGGCGTTCACCCTACTGCGTGCTGGCAGAAATCCAGCCCTGGCAATTTGTCTTCTCCCAACATAATGCTGTCCCACAGCACCAACCCAATTCAGACTTCCAAAACAGCCTCGTTGGCGCCTTCAAGCAGAGCTGTTCCAACCCCCCACGGAAGGGGCCACGCACATTAAGAGCAGGAACCTGTGTGCAACTGTGCCCAGGAGGGAAAAGGTGAGGGGGTGTTTACACAAGCCCAGACACACGCAGGGAGGGATGGGACTGGCTGAAAGGTCAAGGGATCAGCAGCAGTGGGAGGTAGGAAGGGGTAAATTGGGGGCTACATCATCTGCTCCTTCCCTGAGAACAGAGAGAATATGCAGCACCCACCCAAGTTTTTCACAGAATAATTTGGGTTGGAAGGGATTTCTAAAGGTTATCAAGTCCAACTCCCCTGCCATGGGCAGGGACGTGTTCAACTCTGTCAGGCTGCTCACTCCTCTGTCCAACCTGACCCAGAATATTTCCAGGGATGGGGCATCCACCACCTCTCTGAGCAACCTGTGTCAGTACCACCCTCCCTGTAGAAAATTTCCTTACATATAACCTACACTGACTGTCTTTTAACTTAAAAAATCATCAGCCTTGTCTTACCACAACAAGCCCCACAAAAAGTCTGCCCCCATCTTTCTTCCAGGCCCCCTTTAAGCATTAAAATCTCAGAGTAAAGTCTCTCCAGAGCCTTCTCTTCTCTCCAGGCTGAACAGCCCCAAGTTTTGAACCAAGCAGAAGGAAGGAGACAGATCTCAGGGGGAGTCCAATGAGTCTCTTCTTTCCTCCTTTCCCATCAGTCCCTTTCTCCCCATATTGCCCAGACTTCACCAGAGTAACCCCCTTTCCTCCAGCCATCAGGTCCATCCCCACCTGACCACACACCAACCTGCCTTTCCTCTCCCCACCTCTGGAAACCAGGAGAGTTCAACCTCAGGGCAGTTATAAAACACCCCAGTAACAGATGGAAGCCTGGGCAGGAGCACAAGTCTCCAGATTCATCAGGGATCAACACCATAATGCTCCAGGGTCTGCCTGAAGTTCCAGCAGTGTTTCCATGAAGAAAAAAAAAAAAAAATCTTCCTCCAGCCTGCAAAGGCTGAGGAGTTCCCCCTTTCCTCCTTCACACCTCGACCCTCAGATCCACCAAACCCCATGTGTTGGTTCCTTCACCTGGGTTTGCTTTCAAAGGTTCAACAATTAAAAAAAAAAAAAAAAAAAAAAAACAACACAAAACAAAACAAGCCAAGCAAAGCAATTTCAACAAGGTCAAGCTTCTAGAGATGAAGCTGGAAGGCATCACCCCAGGGAACTAAGATGTACAGCACCCTCATTCCTGTGCCCCCAGGATCTCTCACCATGTCCTCATTCTCCAGACTCTCCCACCCAACACCTACGAGGACAACCAGACTCTCCACCTGCTCTCCCTCTAAAAGCAGAACAAGATGCCACCTTCCACTACCTGCCAAAGAGCACAGTTTTAAGCTCTTTTGACGATTTAAGCAGTGCTCTTCATTTTTTAAGAGTTAATTTACTCCAGCAAATAAGTATCTACTGCCACCCCACCTTACTCCCCTGCAGGGACGTCTATTAAATGAGACTAAATTGGAGAGGCACAGTGTCACTACTCAGTTTCTTCCTCAAAAGGAACATTTCTGAGCTTTCTGAGCACTGGACTCAAAGGTAGAAGTGACGAGGTGAAGGGCTGCAGAAGAGAAAACAAAGCTTGTTTCTCCAGAACTCAAGGATCCAGCTTAAGGTTTCCTGAGTAAGCAACTCCCCTCTGAGTTGCGGCAGTGACCCCAAGAGCCACCAAGGCAGAGGTGTTTCACAGTCACAGAAGGGTCTGGGCTGGCAGGGAGCTAAAAGACCATCTCATTCCAACTCCCTCCAGACCATCTCATTCCAACCCCCTCCCACCAGACCTGCATGAGAAGTTTCCTTTTTAACTGGCACCACAGTCCAGTCTGCTGTTTGTTTAAGGTGCTCAGTCGTAGGTCTAGGATAAACCCAGATGATCCACCGTGGGAAGCATCAGGCAAGAAGTGGGTCCATTTCCTGATTTCTGACATTCTTATCATTTTTCACATTTACATTTAACAACAAAAAGCCCCAACCCTGCCATCCTCCATTATTAAATTCCTGTGGGCACCGTGTCTCCCATCTAATAACCCACTTTTAACTCCCTTGTTTTAAAGTTAGTAATAACTCCTCTTGAGCCTTGCAATATTAGTTGGATTATGAATAAAAACACATTCTCTGGATACTTGGGTAACTCAATTACAGTGTTCTGCTGCTGGCATCTTCCAAGTAAACAGCCCTCTGCAGCACAAGCCTTATATTGAAGTAAAATACATCTCTGCAACAGCCTTCCCTACAAGCAGCACCACAGCCTTTGGCTTTTAGGATTTCTCTCCACAGTAAATCTCTCCCAGTTTTAGTGGCTTGATATTTTTGAGAGAGTTACTGGAGAGGCACTTTTTTATTTACAGGTCCTTTCATACTGGCAGCTCTCGGGGTGTCTCTGAACACAGGCAGGCTGGACATCTGGAGAACGGGGTTACCCTACAAGTACTGATCAGAAAACACCAGGTACCTTCACCATCTCTTACTCAGGGTGTGCTCCAATATCCCAATTTCATAGAACTTGGATCAGAAGTGACCTTAAAGACCATCCAGTCCCACTCCCTGCCATGGGAAGGGGCACCTTCCACTAGCCCAGGTTGCTCCAAGCCCCATCCAAGCTGGCCTTGGACACTTCCAGGGATGGAGCAGCCACCACTTTCCCCACAAATTCAATTTCCACGTCATCAACACTGTTTTA